GTATCACAAAAAAAAAAAATCAACATTACAAAAAATCGATCTGCACAAAGTAAACATATTTTTTTTCATCCGCAAAGTCTTATTTTACGCCCAAACATATCCCATTTATTTGATCACCGCTTCTGCCATTTCGGTCTACGCTGGAGACTTTCTCGGAAATCGAAAACTGAAAATGGGCAACCCAATCTCCGTCGGCAGTCCGAACGAGCCCGCTAGTACCAAGGAATGAGTGTATTTGCGATAGTAGGATCGGTAACGGGTAAAGGAATGAGTAGGAATAGCCCATCAACTGATCCGACAGGTCTTTTCCTTTCGACTCCGTCTTTGACTGAACTTCGCTTCGTTCGTTTTTAGGAGTTGCCTTGAGTTTTGGAATAACTATCAACTCGGCTAAGGTTTTTGGACTCCTTTATTGTTAGGAGTTGATAAATACGGGAATAAATTCCGGATTGCCTCATTTCTTCTTGCCGCTTTTGAGATTGTGCACCCGCGCTTTCAGCTCTGTTTCATACGCGTCTGTCTTCTTGTTCCGTTAGTGGGACCGGAACCAAAAAAACGTTATGCACTACTTTGTGCTACACTTAGAAGAAGGAAATGGTTTGCCATAACAAGTTTCAAGGTAAAGTATTTCATGAGGAATGAATTATGCAATCCAATACACACTTCATGTTTTTTTTTTTTAACAGCTTAAGGATAGAAATAAAAAAACATCAACTTAAATATCTAATAGCATGATTGGGAGATTAGATTAGCAATTACCTGCCAAGGTTTTTTTCCTGGGCGGTGTTACCGTTGCCATAGGGGTTCTTCCGGGCAGAGATGCTGCCGCTACGTGGTTTCTTCCGGGGCGCAGGTTCCCTACATCAGGCGACCAATCGTCTGCGCTGGAGGGGCGCGGTGGCCAAGGGAGGCGACATCAAGGTTGTAGAGGACGGCGTTGATGCCGTTGAAGGCAACGGTGAGGAAGAAGGATAGGGGGACGGTCGTCGGGAAGTTGCGGGCAACAGATTTGAGAAGAGACGAAAAAAACGAAGCGTCGTGACTTCTTAAAACTGTTATATATATATATATATAAAGTAATTGTGACCTTTAGAATACTTAAAACCGATAAAAAAGATTATTTATAGAATAATGAATGATGTGTTTTAAGTTTTAACTCAATCAAACATATTTTTAAAAGGTCATAGAGTGTTCTTTATTCGAATGACCTTGGGCAACTTGCCCAAAAGCCTGCTCGAAATATGAGCAGAACTTTTCTGTCCACACTTATTAGGGAATCCACTAAACATCTTTCTATTTAAATCATAATTTACGTTCTCTCTCATTCACCTCATGTCTAAATCATAATTTCACTAAACATCTTTCCATTGAACCATTCACCCCCACATTCATGTCCATTCATTTAAATACATATATATAAGACCTATTATCCACTCATTTAATATAAATTTTATATTCTATTCTTAATAAAAACAAATGTAATTTTTTAATTAGAATACTTAACTTTAAATTCGTGAAAATACAAATACCATTATTACATAAAAAAACTTAAATTAAGATTACAAATTAAAAATAGTTGAAAAAAAAAAATAGTTGGAAGCAAAATGAGTCCAAATATGTTCAACTAAGTTTGCAGGAAGTTGGTAGCAAAAAAGCATTGTATTGTATTGTATCTCGAAAATTCTACCAATATAATTTTGAAATTCTCGATCTTGAAAATTTTTAATTTTTTTTTTCTATTGTTGGCATTCATTTTTAGCAAATGAGTAGTTGCTAAAATTTTTTGTGCAAGTAAGTTATAAAATCGTGGTATATTTATAGGCGTATAAGGAATTCAAAAATGAAAAATATAAATTATTGATGTATATTGAGAAGTGTAATTTGAATAATAATTGAATTAAATATAAAAAATAAAAAAAGAAGTGAATGGTTTTTGATAAATTAAAAAAAAATGGCATTTAAAACAAAACAAAAGGCAAAAAAAAAAAAAAGAAT